CCCCCCCCGCATTCCCCTTCTGTTCTGAAATTTGATTTGTTCTTGTCATATGTGTTCATCATTTTTTTTTAACTATAACCTTTGGTATATATGGTTGTGACAATTTTTTTCCACTATTTGATCTGAGGAAGTGGGTCTGGCCCACGAAAGCTCATCATCTAATAAACCATCTTGTTAGTCTTTAAAGTGCTACATAGTCCTGTATTTTATTGAAGACTATGGTACTATGTAAGCCCCAGATTGCATCTGAATCCTTCTTGTGTGTTAGACATCACTTTGGGCACAAACATCCCCGTCTACCATGCTGTTTCCTGGAATGGCTACCTTGATCTGTTTCTAGCATTTTTTTAAAAAGGCTAGTTTGTTGGCCTGTTCCTTTCTCTCAACCTGGAGGCCCAGTATACTGTTTTTGTCTGGTCCCTATGCTTGGACCAGTCTGTCTTGTGTGACCATATTAGGACCACTGGCATACCTCTGAGTCCACGAAGCACACAAACCTTCCCACCACATCAAGGTACCCAAGGAAGGTGAGGAATCAGCAGAGGTCATAATTTAGTTTGCAGACCCTTTATCACTGATGAAAATGTTTGAGAAGGAAAAATTCTATCGACTTTTAACCTCCTGGTTGATTTTATATGCTGTCCGTTATAAAAACATTGTATTTGGAAGCTGAACATTGATACCCCATGGCCTTTGGTACGTAATCACTTTTCAGAATAGAGCCGCATGTCAAATACTGACTCTTACCTAATCTCTAAAACCTAACACTGCCCTAGGGGAACACACAACGAAGTAGGTGTTAATGTATGAAAAGATTCCTATTTTATCTCAAGGAAGTGCAAATGAGATGTACCTGGAATTAATTCTTCAGGTTCAACCCTTCTGAATGTAACCAGTGTGTCTGAAAGGAAAGCATTAGTGGGTAGAATTCGTTGGAAAATGGTTTCTCCTTCTTGCCCAGGGGACAATTTTGAGTAACCCCCCCAAACATTTTCATGGAAAAATGTTCAGTGTTTGTAAGGAAGACCAGGCACATTAGTTTTACAGTGAGGTAAATGAAGTAAACCCCTGGAAGAGTATAGGGCTTTTATCTCACTGTGGTGCCAGGTCTTCACTGTGGGTGCATTTACACAGCACCCTAAACTCAAAATAAGATATGCAATTTGCACTACACAACTTGCATATCTTATTTCGAATCTATTTTGAAATAGCTTATTTTGAAATTTGGCACATGTACGCAGCACCAGATTTCAAAATAATGTGCTATTTTGAGCCCTCCCTTATCCCTCGTGCAATGAGGTTTACCAGGATGGTGAAATAGTGTGCCTGTTATTTCGAAAAATATTTCAAAACAACAGGCAGCTTGTGTAGACACGGGGTAGCTATTTCGGGATACCTCCAGTATCCCGAAATAGCCGTGCATCATAGACGTACCCAGTATTATTACCTTAGGCTAGCTTGTGCATATTAATTAAAAATGTACCTTTTTAACACTGAAGACAAGGCCCCTGTTAGCAAATAGCTGATTCAATATACACTGAGGTATCCCATGATACAGCAATTTCATAAAGTCAGTCAGAATTCCTGTTTTACACAGACAGATTTCCCACATTGTCACAGAATCCAAACTTTGACTTCTTTGAAGGAGAGTGCATGCACCTACAGACAGAATTTGGTTTAGAGTCTGTTATCTCTGCTGCTGTCAGGTCTCATCCTGCTTCAGAGTGATGACTTGTCATATTGCTCAGATTGAACTAGGTCAGTAGACAGTGGTTTTGTGAACGGGTACTTTTAAAGCGCTCTTTAAAATCTGGACACTTATTTTGGTACTAAAATAGAAGATGAGTTTTACAGAAAATCTGTCCCCTTTTAGCTATCACTGGAATGGAATATATAGCTTGAAATAATGCTTGCTGTATGGGTTTCTTTATTTCTGGTGAACAGGCAGTGGGAAGCCAACAGGGTTTTTTAAGACTGTTGCCAGACTTCTGCAATGCACAAGGTCAATGTTCTGAAAAAAATAGGGCTTTACACATTCATGATCGTGAACACTGATTCCTAATCTACAGACCATTGGACTGGTATGAAAGTATAACATCCCTTGTATTAAAAATAAAGGACTTTATTAAACAATTTGTAATCCAAAACATTGCAGCAAAAATACTATAAGCTGTAGTGTTTTGGCATATTAGGGTAGAATACTGTGAATTTAGTATATTTTTAAAAAATATAAGAGATGACACTTTAAAAGTACTGATGCAACTTTTCAGTTTTTTAAAACCACCCTTGTCTCTCAATTTTGAAGCACTATCACTCAGCTCTAGTTTTGCTTCCTACTGTCAACTTGCTTTCAGCGAAGCTTTTATTTTTCAGAGTTTGTGAGAAACACCTGTTTAAACAATGTAGACAAATATGAAGGAACTTTTGAAAATGGTTCAGTATCTATTATTTCATAACTGAAACCAAGTCAGGTTTCTTTTGTATTTTAGCATGATATGGCAAGCCACACAGGAAACCTACCTTCATTTCTATAGTGACTTTACTTGGTCAGATATCAACTATATTAAATAGTAAAATTACTCAGTGCTGGCACTACTCCTAAATATAAATCCATTTATATGTTTTATGGTGCTATTGACATTAAAAGAGGATAAGATGAGTTTCATTTTCTGCCAGACAGTGACAAATACAGTAAGCATCAAAGCAGGTGAAATAATAATAAGAAAAAGGATATTGTGAAATTTCTTCACGTCTACTTTCTTTATTTACAGAAAGATTAGATCAAGTGGTTCTTTTGCTACAGTTTTTCTTCTTTGGCCCCATAAGAAGGCTAGACCCATAGCTAGTGTAAATTTGTGTTCTGTGTTGACTTCAGTGGAGTACACTGATTCATACCTGCTGGGAATCTGGCCCAAGAGTTTGCATATTGATCTCAGGGAAAGGCTAACAGGTATTTTAAGAAGGAGAGTATGTGGAGTCTTCTCTGGTGCACCACACAGTTTAACTGGACTGTCAAAATATAAATTCAGTCAAAACAACAAGGAGACCAGTGGCGCCTTAAAGACTAATAATTTTATTATGGTACAAACTTTCCTTTTTTTTCACTTCATGCATCTGATTAAGAGAATTGCAATTCACGAAAGCTTGTGCCCTAATAAAATTATTAGTCTTTAAGGTGCCTCCAGATTCCTTGTTGTTTTTGCTGAAACAGACTAACATAGACACCTAGGGAGGCGGGGCTGGGAGGCCCAGCTCCTTGCTCCTGGAAGGGGCGGGGCCTCTGGTGGAAGGTGTGGAGACAGGGCAGCTAGCCCCCAGCCACACCCAGAGTGTG